TGTATTTTTGGAGATTGCGCACCGCCTGGGAGAACTTCGGATGGTGTCCGGGCCCAAGAATTCGCCCTTATTAACTGTTTTGCATAACTACAGTAACTGCGAATATTGCCATTCTCGACAGTTACCATATTGCATCGCGTAACCTCTGATGCGGTTGCCGGACGGTCAACAGTCGCTAGATGAGACTAATTCAAATACGCATGCAACAAGAGAATGAGATGTAGAATCCAAACACACCAAAACGACCCCATCATTTCATATATATTGATTAAATCAACCATATAGTGTACAAAATACTAGTCTGTAGAGTTGACATCTAGGTGTAATATTATGGTATTTTAGAGTGAGCAACAAGAGCCCTGATAACACATGTGGTGAAAAGGTACGCGAACGATAAAAAACAAATGGCGTGTTCACTCGTTTGGTCAATCGATTCACGAGTTCCGTCACTAATCCTGGCACATACTCTTTAATGTTTTTTTTATGCGGGAGTTTCATGTTGTGACCATTCGCGTGATTGCTTGCCAGTGTTAAGACTAGCAAACTCTCTAGCCATGTACTCTGAGGGGTACATTCCCTTATTAACTGTTTTGCATAGCTACAGTAACAGTGACTATTGCCATTCTCGACAGTTACCATATTGCATCGCGTAACCTCTGATGCGGTTGCCGAACGGTCAACAGTCGTGACCGTTGACTAACAGCGACTGTTGACATTCGGGTGACTCTCGAGCTGCCGCGTGCTCTATATGAGCTATTGCGGTACTGGTACAGTGGCGCTGCTTCGTTATGGAGTGGCGCGCTAGGAGAGAACCTTCGGGAATGTTATAATAACCTTTTTGGTTATTCCAACAAGAGTGAGTAACAAGGGCCCTGATAACACATGTGGTGAAAAGGTACGCGAACGATAAAAAACAAATGGTGTGTTCATTCGTTTGGTCAATCGATTCACGAGTTCCGTCACTAATCCTGGCACATACTCTTTAATGTTTTTTTTTTATGCGGGAGTTTCATGTTGTGACCATTCGCGTGATTGTCTGCCAGCGTTAAAGCGACGGGCAACTTTTGGCAGTGTTGGGTTCAGAAGTTTTTTTTTTGAACCAGGCTTGCCAGCGCGAAAGTGCTGGCTGGCGAAAACCAGGATTTCGTGCGGACACTTTCCATCCGCAGTAACAGTTCGCCAGGGTTCTGGGTTTTGGGTGGCAAATGTGCACCGTCGCTTTAAGTGACTGAACGTGTGAGACTACTTACTAAACGCGTGAAAATGCATCTTTTATTGACCGTTCGCTTTTGGTTAGTACAAATAATGTCATCGAAGCCCACGCTTATTACGATGTGCATGTTTTCCCGAGCTATGTTGTCTGCCTTGCAGCATTCTTCTTCGTACATTGATAAGCACACTGTATCACCCACATTTGTACCAAACCGCAACTGGACAACCACTCTTGATCTTGTGTAATCCTGCCGATTCTTTGTTTGGGTGCCCGCTAGTGAAAGTATTTGTTAATGAAGTACACACGTAAGCAACTCAGTACTCATTGGCGAGTGCTGGAAACGGATATCCTCCTATTTTGTTCGCATCAGTGAGAATTGAGGGCAGCGCGAATGAAAGGATCAGGAGTACTGGCGAAAGCAGTTGCTCATCCAGTTGGTCGCAACGCAGTTCCTCACACCACCTCGCTCGCGTAGGAAGCAGCCAGCCAAGCATTTCTGACCCAGAAATACCTGGCCGCAGCGGAAACATAGAACTGAATTTGGGGCAAGCTGAGAAAAACTAAGCCTGATTTTTGTGAATTCTGATCGTCTGACACGTCGCTCTGGTTGTGTCGAATTTTGAATCAAAGCACAATCAAATGCGACCACAAGATCATTGCTGCTGAGCTCAGTCGAACGGACCAATGCATGTCGAGCTCACGTGTCCTCTTTGCTAAACTCACGTGATGGTACACTTGCACCAATCATGTTGCTTCAAGACTCCTCTAAAATCACACCCTCTCTCAACCGTGAGGAGGTGGGTTAGTCGAGAAAAATCTGTTTTAGGATCAGAATCGTCACGACGATATGCTTTTGAATGAAATGTAACGAGGTCCCGATGGGTGGAAGCTCAGCCTTAGAGCGTGTCCAGTGTGAGATGTTGACGGATGTTGAGAGCGGTGAGCCGTCGGATTATTCTTGGGGTCGTGAATCCGGCAGTTTACCTTCCTTGACGTCGACGACCTCCGTCAACATCTCACTTTTGAACAAGCTCCTACAGTTGGAAAAAGACAACAGCGATCAGAGGGTATGGAAGAAAGGCAGCGTCTTTTAGCGATCGCAGAGTTTATCAGTTTTGGATGGCGTGATTTCAGCTCCGCCTGAGCGTAGACCGTGAAAATCTCGCCGGCGTTTGGTGATCCGCGCAGATTCGATGTTCTCTCGATGTCGGGTGTGGTTTCGCAGCCCCACTGGGCATGCAGCTACACGGACTCCGTGTACTGTACCGTACACTACGTGGCGGATGATTACCTTCCTCGGGAGCTTCCTTTGGGTGCGAGCGTGTGTACGAATACGCGACTCTAGCGCAACCCTTGAACCGTCGCACGTTCGCTTGCCGCATCATGGAGCACGCTTGGAAACGAAGTATTTCTAAGCGAGAGAGTCTGAGCATTTTCAGTCAGCTTCGTATTCCTCCACGTTACTTCTTTCAGTCCAGACTCCGGAAAGGGGTGAACGCTGCCCATCTCCTCTACCTACGACGCCGCGCTCCGAGTCTGCCTACTACTTCAACAAAGTTCTTCATCACTGTTGATGGGGCTTTGTCGGAATGCGCTTCGGTTGCGCCTGTTGCTGAAGGACCTTTTAAGCTGCGGCGGAGCAACGGGGAGCAGGTGCACGCTTGCTGCTTGGCAAAAGAGCACTTTGATTCCATCTGGAGTGCCACGTGGGACAGAATGAACGATGCAGCTGACGAGGCGGGTGCGAGGTGTTCTGAGGCAGATTCTCCTTGCGGCGGTGACGTGGCAGGAGAACCTGCAATCAAGCAGAGCCAGGTGCTGCCAAAGGAGGGGAATATTGCGCATCGGCGTGGGTTTGCTGTTACGTGGCTAGAGAGCTATGAGAAAACAGGAGAGTACAAGGGAGGGATGAGGAGAGGAGCAAGTGTTAATGACCTTGCGATGAGAGGAAAGAGCAGCTGCTTTTGCAGCAGGGAATGTGGCTGCATAACAAGTGGCGGGAGTGGTGGAAGCAGCAGTGCCGTGTCTCCAGTGTGCAAAATAATGTCCACAGCTCCTCCCGTCTTTGTTTGGGCTGCTAAAAGGCGGATGGAGAGGAGGGCTTCAGAAAGCGAAGCTGTGGTCTCATGCAAAATGTATTGATGATATTGTGGTCGTAGTGTGTACATAGTGTGTACTTAATATATTAAGCTTATACAGAACACGGAGAAAGTGTAACGAATATTCCATCTTATGCATGTACGTGTCGTCACTGCCGTGTCCGGACAGGCCCTTCGCATGCCACGTCAGCCGAGATGGGATTCCTGGCATTCACACCTCAGAATTTATAGAAGAACCACTCGCGAACCCTAAAAACCGTGGTAAAACCGCCCTGCAAACCTGAGTTTTCTTGCTGGTTGATCAAGCAAGAAAACGGGAAGAACCAGCTTCTTCCCGTTTCTGGTTCATGCTCTTGGGAATTCCTAGCTAGACTTCCCAGTCTCAAGACGCTGCACACTGTATTAGAGGGGAATCTTGAACACTCGCGATGTTGGCTGGGGTCTAGCTCCTTGTCAGTTCTTTCAGGTCATCTCCTCGCTCTCACCCGAGGCTTCAGCAGGGTTGCGCGTCACCTGCGTTGGTGGTTGTGAAGAATTGATCAAGTGATTCATTTCCACTGTTTGCTGCTGCGCCTCATCTTCACGCTTTCCGTAGCTATTCCGGTCATACTTCTAGACGGATTGTTCTGATAGCAGATTCGTCAACGGAATTGTTGATAGCGGATTCGTCAGATCGTAGACAGAGTTATTAGATTCAGTAGCCATGACCCGATCTATCGCCACAGCGGCAGCGCGGCTCGCGCAGCGCGGCGCATCCGTTATGAGGAGCTCTCATCAGCAGCAGCGTCGTCAACCCTCGTTACAATCACACCTTGCTTCACATCCGCCTCGATACAATCACACCCCGGCGAGCACCGCGTCGCTAGCGCCGTTGCTCTCTCTGCGCTCGCGATTCTTTTCGGCCGACGCACAGAACGCTTCGCCACAAAGTGTTGCAATCGAACGTGCTTCTAACGAAAGTGCTGCAGTGAAGACCGCTTTCGCGCAGAAGGCCCCTTCTCCGGAGGCCGACGAGCCGATTACGCTGGATGTGAAGGGCGTGGAGATGAAAGGACGGCCGCTGTACCTCGATATGCAGGTGCGTATAGTGGGAGTGCCTGTAGCGAGGATGCGTGTGGTGAAGTTATGTTTACGCTGGATGTGAAGGGAATGGAAATGAAAGGACGGCCGCTGTACCTCGATATGCAGGTGCGTATTACGGGAGGGACGTATAACGAGGTATTATGATGATCAGGCTGGATGTGAAGGGAGTGGAGATGGCCGTTGTACCTTGATATTCAGGTGCGTGTAACGGGTGGAATGTGATGTGTTTCTTGATGTGCGTGAAACGAAGCAGAGTCATTGCTGTACTCGGGACGAGTGAAGCTTCACGGCCCGTATTTCCACGCGGGGATAGTTTGGTTGAGTGAGTGAGTTGCCAGCGATTCGTGAGATTTCTCAACAATTGACCATGCATTGCTGGGGTTTAGGACGAGTGGAGCTTGAGAGTACGTAATTCCAGGCGGGGATAGCTCAGTTGGGAGAGCGTCAGACTGAAGATCTGAAGGTCGCGTGTTCGATCCACGCTCACCGCACTTTTCTTGCTTCTGTGCCGCTCTTCCCCTTGCGTCCCATGGTCCCCTCACATTTCTCCCCCACATGATTTGCTCTTGCTTTTTCTCTCCCTATATCCTTTCCTCCTTAACTCCATGCAGTTTCCGTGTTGCCTTTCTGCCCCTTCCCGCGCCCCTCCCCCCCCCCCCCCACCCACCCACACCTCCTTCCCCCTCCTCCCTCCCCCCCCCCCCCCCCAACACCCACACACACCTCCTTCCCCCCCCCCCCCACTCCACATCCACCTCCCTGTTCCCCCCCTCCCTCACTCCCCTCCTCCCCTTAACCCCCCCCCTTCCCACCCCTTCCACTCTTCTCCCCCCAACTACCTCTCCCCTCCCCCCCACTTCCCCTCCCTTCCCCTCCCCTTCCCCCCCTCAACCCCCCCCCAGGCCACCTCGCGCAGAGCAGTATGGCTGGGGGTGGGGGAGCCTCTCCTTTCCAGACCACCTTACCTGTTTGTGTCTGCTTCCCCCCTTCCGCCTGCTTCTCCCCTGCGTCTCCCCCTCTTCGCCTTTTGCCTCAGGCCACCTCCCCCGTGGATCCGCGGGTGTTAACGCCATGCTGCCGTTTTTCACGGAGCAGTTTGGCAACCCGCACACCCTCACACACCCCTTCCCTTTTTCCTGCTTCTCCTTACCCCAGTGTGCTCATTCCCCCCTTCTCCCCTACGCCCCTCCCCTCTCCCCGCCTTCCCGTTACCCCCCTCCCGCCTTCCCAACTTCCGCCTCCCCATTCCCCCCATCCCCTCTTCCCCAGGCGACCTCCCCCGAGGATCCGCGCGTGTTGGACGCCATGCTCCCGTTCTTCCCACGCCACACACCTGTACGGGTGGGAGTGGGGGAGCCCCTCCTTCCCACACCACCTTCCCTGTCTCTCCCCCGCTTCTCCCCCTCGCCTCCGCCCTCCCCCAGGCCACCTCCCCAGTGGATCCGCGCGTGTTAGACGCCAAGCTCCCGTTCTTCCCAGAGCAGTATGGCAACCCGCACTCGCGCACACACTTCTCTTTTCCCACCTCCCCTGTTTCTCCCCTGCTTCCCCATCCCCCCCCCCTCTTCCCCTGCTTCCCCATCCCCCCCCCTCTTCCCCTCCTCCCCCAGGCCACCTCCCCCGTGGATCCACGGGTGTTAGACGCCATGCTACCGTTTTTCACGGAGCAGTATGGCAACCCGCACTCGCGCACACACCTGTACGGGTGGGAGAGCGAGGGTGCGGTGGAGGCAGCACGGCAGCAGGTGGCGTCTCTCATCGGTGCCAGCCCCAAGGAGATCATATTCACATCGGGGGCCACCGAGTCGAACAACATTGCCATCAAGGGCGTGGCGCACTTCTACAAGTGAGTGGTTGTGATGGGTGGTGCACGGTGGGCTTAGTGTGTGCCTGGTGCAGCAGGGAGGTGCAACAGCAGGTGCAGGCAGCAGGTGGCATCTCTCATCGGTGGCAGCCCCAAGGAGATCATCTTCACATCGGGAGCGACCGAGAAGCGCCATGTCATCACCACTCAAACCGAGCACAAGTGCGTGTTGGACTCGTGCCGGCACCTGCAGCAGGAGGGCTTCGACGCCACTTACCTCCTGGTCAAATTTTATTCTCACCTCTCCCTCTTCCCCCTTCCCCCTTCCCCCTTCCCCCGGTTGCTCCCTCTCCCCTTTTCCGCCACACCCTGTTCTCCCTCCTTTTCCATCCGTTTCCCCCCCACGTATTTTTTCCAGGGACAAGAAGCGCCACGTCATCACCACTCAAACCGAGCACAAGTGCGTGTTGGACTCGTGCCGGCACCTGCAGCAGGAGGGCTTCGACGTCACTTACCTCTTTCTCTTTCCTCCTCCTCCCATTTCCCTCTTCTCTCCTTCTCCCCCCCCCCTCTTCTCTCTCTCTCCATTCCCTTTCTGCACCCTTCAACCCCCCAGGGACAAGAAGAAGCACGTGATCACCACACAGACAGAGCACAAGTGTGTGTTGGACTCATGCCGGCACCTGCAGCAGGAGGGATTTGACGTGACTTACCTCCCCGTCGGCTCCGACGGTCTCGTCGACCTCGAAACCCTAAAGGCCGCAATCCGCCCGGACACGGTTCTCGTTTCGATCATGACCGTTAACAACGAGATCGGCGTCATCCAGCCGCTCGCCGAAATCGGGCAGCTCTGCCGGGCAAACAAAATCTTTTTCCACACCGACGCGGCTCAGGCGGCGGGGAAAATCCCGCTAAGCGTCGACGAGCTAAACATCGATCTCCTGTCGCTTAGCAGCCATAAGATCTACGGTCCGAAGGGGGTTGGCGCTCTGTACGTGCGCCGCCGACCGAGAGTCAGGCTCGAGCCTCAAATGAGCGGTGGAGGCCAGGAACGGGGTCTCAGGTCCGGTACCGTACCTACCCCGCTGGTGGTCGGGCTAGGTGCGGCATGCGCCGTTGCCGAAGCTGAGTTGGAACGCGATTACCGCCACGCTGAGCAGTTAAAGCAGCGGCTTCTAAAGGGGATAACGTCGCAGTTGGAAGGGGTGGTGATCAACGGTTCTGATGAACCGGGGAAGCGGTACCCGGGCAATCTGAACCTTTCATTTGCGTATGTGGAGGGCGAGAGTCTGCTGATGGGGTTGAAGGAGATTGCAGTGTCGAGTGGCAGTGCGTGCACGAGTGCAAGCCTCGAGCCCAGCTATGTGCTGCGGGCGCTGGGCGTGGAAGATGAGATGGCTCATACTTCCATTCGATTCGGATTGGGGAGGTTCACGACAGAAGAGGAGGTGGACAGGTGAGCGTAATCCAAGGGTGGGTGGTTAGTAATAGGGCAGCTCTGTGCTGCGGTCGCTGGGAGTGGAGGAGGAGATGGCTCATACTTCCATCCGGTTCGGGTTCGGGCGATTCACGACCGAAGAGGAGGTGGACAGGTGAGCAGCAGCACAGGACTCTCAGGTATGCGCACCCGCTGGTGCTATGTGCTGTGAGCGCTGGGCGTGGAGGATGAGATGGCTCATACGTCGATTCGGTTTGGATTTGGGCGATTCACCACTGAAGAGGAGGTGGACAGGTGAGAGTGGGTAAGGAGTGAGTGGTTCGCAGTGGGACAGATGTGCTGCGGGCGCTGGGCGTGGAGGAGGAGATGGCGCATACCTCCATTCGGTTTGGGTTTGGAAAGTTCACCACTGAAGAGGAGGTGGACAGGTGAGAGTGGGGGCTGAGGGTGACGTGGGGAGCTGTGCCAGTAGGAAAGCTTGCACTGGGCGTGGAGGAGCCGATGGCTCATACCTCCATTCGGTTCGGGTTTGGAAGGTTTACGACCGAAGAACAGGTGGACAGGTGAGATTGTGGGCTGAGGGTGGAGTGGGTAGGAGCAGTTGAGCAGCCAGCGGGGGACAGGGCAGGTATGTGCTGCGTCTGCGTTGATCGAACACGATTGAGAATGGGTAGCACAGTGAGCATGGTTATGAACTCGGGTATTGATGGGCATGGGCATTGGGATGAGCATTGGAATGGAAGATTTGACCATAGCTCCTGGCATGATACGGTAACTGTTTTTATCGTCTCATCTCGTGGCATTGTTACTGTCCCTTTCCCATGCAGGGCTGTGGCGTTGACAGTGCATCAGGTGCAGAGGCTGAGGGACATGAGTCCGCTGTGGGAGATGGTGCAGGAGGGCATTGACATCAAGACCATCCAGTGGTCGCAGCACTGATCAGATTATAATTTTGGCAATAATGTTAGACTTCCTGAAGAGGCTGGATGATTGCACTAGTTGTTACGGTTGTTGCCATTACTTTGGTATCGTTGCAGTGTTTGACTGTACATGAAGAATTGATGTTTCCACCTTGATCTTAGTCAGTTTCAAAAGGTGCTAGCGGTGATACAGTTTTATTTGTATTGTTCTTTTTTTTTGGCGATCAAAGCAGCATAACGAGTGTGCTTGCTTTAGATGTTTCGCCTTTGCTTGGCAACTTCTTTTCGTTGACACGTCCTCGCAAGCCTCGTCAGCCGCAGCCACGTGCTCCTACGCTTCTGGCCATGCCAAGCCTCCACGTTTGCTGATATTTCCCGAATCGCGGAACAGTCTGCGAGCCGAGCCTGGGAAGCTCGGAAGGAAGTGGTCCAGGTGACACGTTGCGTGCTTGGATTGGGGATTCTTTCCAGAAGCTGGGGAGGGCTGGGCTTGTGGCGGAATCTTGCCTGGCTCGTGTTGTGTGCTTCGGCACACAATCTCGAGGACCAGCATCATCATTGAGGGTGTGTCGAATCTCGTTCTCGGCACACCAAACCGCTCTCCACCGCATGTCCGCACATTTCCGTACCTTTTCACGCAACGTCGATGATTATGGTTCATAACGCTTTGGGTGCATTTCTGTGCGCTTACCATACGGTTCTTTGCGGTGGTGGCCTGACCTGTGAATGAACTACAGTACACAGCTCCAGTGCATGGAGATTATCCCCCTAGAACTTGTCTCTCGAGAGAAAGACGACTTCTCCTAGGTTCCTCAGCCTGGGTCAGCTGGGGAGAAGCTGAGAGCTCAGCTTTCGTTACGCCGTGCTTCACGGCACCTAATCTGCTTCGGGGTAGTTCCTAGGCTCCTGTCCCGTTGCCTCTTCACCTGTCGTTTGCGTCATCTCCCACTCACCCAACCCATTGGTTTACCTACATTGCAGTTTCGTGGGAGTTTCACACAACCAACCCGTCCATCCAACTACCAGCACCGCCTCTCGCTCAATCATACGATCACTCCGTTGCTCATCTCCACACATTTTTTTCCTTTCAAACCACGCGAGTAGAACAGGTCTCGGACCGTCTAGTCAACACCCCACAGCTGGCGACAGTCCAAGGGTGATTCACTTGGCGGTGGATTTTAGGGTTGGTAGTGCTCGACTTCTCGCGCAGCATGTGGAAGGCAGCAGCGAGTCGTCTGATCCCCGCCGCTCTTCGCGCGCAGCGGGGAGCGTCGTCGCACGCTAATGGCATTCGCAGCGCGCCGTTTCTCGGGCGAATGATGTCCTCGCAGGTGCGTGCGACTTCTTAATACTATTCTTCTTACATCGATTCCCCCGCAATCTGCGCCGACTCTCAGTGGATTCTGAGCCGGCGAGGCAAAATGGATGCAGTAAGCCACCATCGATCCCTCCACCTGTATTCTTCTTATCGCCTTGCCTTTTCCGTGCGCTTAGCGTTTCCATCTGGACGCTCGTTCTTGACTTCCGATCTGACTTAGATCTCGCACAGATAGGTCTCGCGTCTACTCTTGACATTCTTCTTAGAACCAGATTTCCAGGTGTCCATTTCAGAACTCGTTTTTCAAACGTCCCGTCTTGGTTCTTTTAAAAATATATTGTTTTAGACGTGTCTGTCTCTCTGAATGAGGAGGTCCTGGCGGAGACGCCTTGATGCTCGATGCCAGTGACGGGAAATGAGAGATTATACAGATTCGTTCATTTCACGCAAGTCCTTCACCTTGGTTACGATCGGATCTGGTTGCACCAGTTTTAATGTACTTTAGTATTCCGACCTTGTTTCGCATCCCCTGACTTCCGCCGTCTCCCGTAGTACGCGGTGGTGGTGGTGGCGGGCATTGCT